CTATTGTAAAATTGAAGTGAAGAGGCAATTAAAAGTATTTACAGTAAATAGCAGTTGTTACTAAAAAAAAAAATCACGTCATCATTCATTTGATCAATCGAGAAATGGGTGATTTTGAAAATAGATGTGTCAGTTTCGAAGACTATATCTCATTATATTGAGAAAGAAAAGCGTTTTGATACTATCAACATTCATCTTGCTCGATAGTCTGGAGGCCAGTAAACAAATTTTGCATATTTTTCTGTTGAAACATGTATCATCGTTTTTTATTTATCCTTGAGTTCACCGAAGTGAATGTATGTGAAACATCGAAAAATAAAACAGGTTTGAGTCAGACAACGCTATTAGTTGAAAATTAATTAATATAACTACTAATGAAAACATCCATCATTCCATCATTCTTGTTACCCGTACTAGTCTGTACAAGTCTCTTGCTGGACGTATGTCATTATTTTCTAGACATAATTTGGGTTCTTCATAAATTGTTCACCTCTTATAATCTGTAGCCTCACATTCGTATAAAATGTGACGAGATGTCTCTGTTCCTTTTTTGCACTGCTTGCAGCTAATATCTTCGTTATGCAGCCCTATTTTGTTTATATGTCGTTTTAATAGACAGTGTTCAGTAAGTAGTTATGGAATTGTTCAGAGGCGATCCCTGGTTTGTTGAGAAAGTTTTTCAGTTCTTTTCTCGAACGATTCTCAATCAATTCTATTTCCTCATCACAGTAGATACACTGCAGTTCTAGGCCTATATACGGAGTTGAGGATCCGTGTCTAGTATATTCCTCAGCTTCATCGTTTCCCACGATAAGTAAGTGCCCTGTCACCCAGTATATAGAAGGGATTGAAGGGGCTAGAGGGGCTCCCCATCGCTTGGTGCTGAGGATGTTGCAGCCCTTTACGAAAAATTCGTAACTGAGTTAAGGCTGACCTGTTTTCATTAACGAGTGCCTCTACGTTAGTTTTAACGAATCACCAGTCGGTGAAACATGGACACATGAAAGTTTTCGAAATAAGCGAGGAGAGTTCCCATGAAATCAAATTATTATTTAATAATAATTCACAACGAGAGATGGTAGTACGAGGGGCTCACCTGGGATTCCTAAAAGTTGTGGCATAGAGAATGAATCTGTACTGGTGGATATTGAAGGGACTAGAGGGCCTCCTTATTTCTTGGCGCTAACGAAGTTGAAGCCTTCAACAGAAATTGTTTAACTGAGTTAGGGCTGAACTGTCTTTATTGACGAGTGCCTTTACATTAATTCAACGAATCACTAGTTGGTGAGCCTAGTGGCCGAAGGCTTTACAGAAAATGGCCTAGGTGAAGCTCTCTGGCTCACAGAGACAGGATTGTCTAGCCATTAGTGATGCCATCAGTACCACACCGTCAGCGGCCATAAAGATCCTTTTAGATCTACCTCCTCTCCATATTTTCTGGAGAGAGAGGCTAGTTGGACTACATATAGACTTGTGCATATTGCCAATTGCACAAATCAATTTGATGCAGAGTCCAACAGACTGTTGGCTGACACTGAAAGTCACAGCATTCTGGAAATGACCTCTGACTTTATGCCTCCAACTGAGACTGTATTACAAGCGGAAATTTACGCTATTGAATTGTGTGCTGAGAGTTTGGAAAAATTTAAACTCATCCCAAATCAATAAAAATATTCTCGGGTAGTCAAGCGGCATTGGAAGCTCTTGGTTCCTACCGAGCAACGTCTGAATTGGTAGCAAATTGCCATAAACCACTCTCCTCGATAGGAAGACAGATTGTCTCTGGTCTGGATTCCTAGCCATACTGTCCTGGAAAACGAAGAGGTTGCTGACAGCAGAGCACAATCTTTGTGCCTGCTTCGCTGTGGACCGAATCAGGTTTTCAGAGTTCGGCGCAGTCATACTCTTACTTGCTGAAAGACCACTCATCATACAAACTAATCGGCTTTGTTAAAAGCTGAGTTTATTTCGTTGAGTGTGAATAGGCCTGAGCCACAATAAACCCTTGCGGGTTGCGGTGGAGGGTCGAATAGACCTACTCACTTTTGACCTAACCTAACCTAACCAGTCGGTGAATTATATAGAAATTAGCGAGAGGAGTTTCCGCGAAATTAAATTACCATTCAACAATGAATAACAACGAGAGATGGGAGGGGTTCACAATTTTTGGAAAGTCTTTGTTCATCTCTTATGGGTGGGGTTTGGCAGAGAATACCTATCTAGCATGAAAAGTTACACAACAAGCAAAATACCAACTTTGGTTTCGAACTGAGAATTTTAAGAATGACTGATGGAATGCTATCAGGTTATATTTCCTGCTGCCATCAAGGCCATCTGTAATGATGAATGATATATGTAAACTATTAAGTGAGAGTTTTCATTTCAACTTGGAATAACTATATTTCGGGGATACTTTTCTTGGAATACCGCTTGAGCAATTTTTTTCCAATTGCTCCGTTTCTCAAGAAATATTTTTCGAGACTGAATCATGTCAAAATCGCAAATTTGATAAATACCTTTTTATAAGGAGAAGATACTGTTAAATGATATTTGGATATTGAAAAAAATATCTGTTTGCAATCTTCGATAGGGAAATTCAATTTCATTTCACAATGTACAAACACTCATAGTTGCAGAAAAATGCTTTTTTTAAATAAGTGTAAAAGGTGAAAAAAATAAAAATCATGAGAATCCAAGAGGGTTATAGGAAGGTGCTCAAATTAAATGATGTGGTATAACAAAACTACATGATATTTTTTATGGAAGTTTTTCACGGAAAACAATCAAGTTGGTGAGAATTGCGAAACCAAATTTGTGATGTCCTTGAACCGATATCTCTATCAGAATGAAGGAAATTGTAACACGTTCTATGAGATTTGGTGAGTAAGACTGGATAACATGAAAATATATTCTGTTAAATATATACGTGTGGTGTATTAATAAATTGTTTGCTTGTCTGAAGTTGTCTCCGGAATACCAAGTGATATGAAACGATGTGATGAATATCTAATGAGGTTATTATCCTGAGTTCGTTTAATTTGCTATTAGGGGAAATTAGAGGTGACATAATGATGAATTATATCAGAGAGTTTCTGTACAACAAGTAGGCATGATTTCATCATCTGAGTAAGTGAACCTGTGCGAGTTAAAAACAGTACGTTTTACGTGCGATACCTAAGGCCTCTCGTCCACTGGGAGAGGAAAGCCGCGATAAATTGTGAAATCAATTCGTCATAAGTCGCACGACAATGCACGAACGATCCAAACACATGGATCGGTAGGGGACCGCATCCACTTAGCCCATATCGTTTGTCAGCTTTCGTCCAACTATGTGCGAATTGTGAACCGATTCCGTTCTGCTGGGATTGCGATCTATTGCGAAAATAGTTACAATAATGTATTGAAACGTGTCTTTTCTCATTCAGAAATAAAAGAAAAGTGGTGATCGTCGTCAGTTTGAAGATCATGCTATAAATGAGAAAATTTTGCCTAAATGGGATTCACCTCCATTTCCTGTCTTCGTCGATATCGCCTGTACCTGATACGACGATGAATCAATCGTGGTAATTCCAAAGCGAAACATTCTTCATCAGACTAATTGAAAAACCCGTTCCGAAAAACCATCGAAACTACTACAGATACTGAGCAAAGGACGATGTTATCGCACGATTTCGTACGAACGGCGATCGCACGAATTCGTTGGACGAGAGGCCTGACACATCTGTGATTCCTGACGTACCACGCTAGACATTCATGCATTTATGTTAGTTTTGCAGACGTTTCTTGTTCATCCAGCAGCAAGACCACACTGAAATCAATCAAGTATATCACCTACAAGCGGGTTTCGTAGTATTACCTCTCGTCAGTGCAGGAAAGATCCAACTCAAACAGCAGTGGGCCTGGGACTCGGTCAATTTCAACGCGGCTTGACTGCACGTGTGAAAGATTGTTAACCAGTAACAGCTTCGTCTCGTGAACAAAGCCCCAAGCGGGAAAAAAAACATCTCAAGTACAAATATTCTGTTAAAAATAAAATTGATTCTGATGACTGTATCAAGAAGAGATACATACTTATAAGAAAATAAATTTTTCGAATTACTGACCGCCTTTGGGAGCCTCGATATTATGATATTCGCAGATTGAATTCTCTCTTGATACTACGGTGTCTTTGTAAGGGGAATATGAAGTATTGCGACGCCTGATGATGTTATTGTATAACAAAACACGTGTCGCGGTTTTGCAAGCTGTCGAGTGGAAATCAGGCTTATCATATGAAGACAGTTGAGTCCGGTAACGCATTCATGGTTCAGCCTAGCACCTCTAATGAGATCTGGTGTTGCTGAATCATAAATGTCAAAGTTTGACTCACTGTTTTCCTCGGTTACCGTGGCGTAGCGCATCAGGAGTTCTTACCACATGGTCGTAAGGTCAATAAGGAGTATTATCTTGAATTGATGTGCCGCTGAAAAATAATCTTTTAATTTTAATTTTTCATTTTTTGTCAATAATATTTTTTAATATTTTAATTTTCAGCTTGTATTAATATTTCAATTTTTATTTTTTGTTTGTTGCTTGTATGTTATTTCTTCATAATTTCAATTTTTTTGTTTAATAAAATTGTTATTTTTCGCCTAATCTTTTTAATTTTTTACAGATTCTTTCAGGGATTTCAAATCAATTTACATTATATTAGACAATGGAAGTCCGAACTGATGAAATACATCAGATATTTCTGTAAATTTATAATTTCTCTTATCTGCAAGGAAAATATGTTGTAAATGAATTCGGGAAAAGTTACTGGAAATACAAATATTTTTCAAGGTTCACTCAATCGATACTGTTATTTTTTATCGAGATTAGATTACCGTCAAGTTCCGATAAATAATGTCTGAATATAGTTCAATAAGTGAAATTATCTTCATTATTATTTGATTAGCAATGATCGTGATATTTTAATGAGTTGAAGTATCGTAAAAACACGTTTGTTTTTTCTGTTTCAGATAAGCTCTCAACTTATGTGACCCTTCTGTGATAAACCGTTTCCATTTTAATATGATCAGTGAGTTTCAGTGGAACAATCGATTCGAATACATGAAGATGGTTGCAACTTCGAAAGAATCGCACGTAATGAAGCCGATTTTGGAGGTTATTACGTTTTTGTTGCAAGCAGTTGTGATCATTGTTAAAACTATCTATACTGCGTGTTTGCCATCAACTTACCGGAATTTCAAGAACATTTCCGGTGAGATCGCTCTAGTTACTGGTGGAGGAGGAGGACTGGGGCGATTATTAGCGCTCCGGTTGGCCAAACTGGGAGCAACTGTAGTTTTATGGGACATAAATGCTAATGGTGAGTTATCATGAATTTTTCGATATGCATAATAAGATTCAATCCATAATTTTAAAAATGAACAAGCATTTTATGAGATCGACAGAAGACTCGAACCACAAACGAACGAGGTTCTTCATGGTTAGGTAAGGTTAGGTCTAAAGTGAGTGAGTCTATTCGATCCTCCACCGCAACCCGCAAGGGTTTATTGCGGCTCACACCTATTCACACTCGACCAAATAAACCCAGATTCTTAACGAAGCCGATCAGTTTGTATGGTGATTGGTCTTTCAGGTCAGATGGTAAGAGTACGGCTCTGCCGAACTCTGAAAACCTGATTCAGTCCCCAGCGGGGCAGGCACAAAGTGTGTACTGTTTCATCATTTTCCAAACAGAGGTGACACACACTGTCTTCCGACAGTCCGAGTCTCTGCATATGATAATTCAAATGACAGTGACCTGTAAGAAGGCCTGTTAGACATCGTAGTTCATCCCTACTGTAAGCCAACAACTGTATTGGTATCAAGCTTCGAAGATTGAATAAACGCCTAGGAGTGAGCCAATCGTGGAAGATTCTGCCAGAAGTCCGTAAATCTTCTTGCCATCCAGGTGTTCAGTCTTTGTTTGGCAAAGGCTAAAGCGATGCCAATGACAGGTTCTGCTCCGATGAAGCTGCTTGCAGCACCCTCCTTTGCAAAGATTTTCATGGTAGTCAGTTGAAAAACAAAGCTAGTACCACTGATGCCCAGTTCTACTGATAAGACCTTGGCGGGTCAAAACAGCTTTCTCTAGTGTTCGATCACCAAAGCTCTGTTTTGGGCTCTGCTCTGAAGTAGTTGCCTTGCAGTGAGAAACGGATGAGAATAAATCTCTTTCTGAAATCTGTCGAAGCTTTCTTTAGCAACTAACCGCCTCAGACAACAACGTTTATCTTTAATATTCTTTGATTGAGTCTTCTATCAATCTCATAGATAGGATCTTCGTGAAAGGAGATGTAATCGCCTACACTAATAAATGCTTGGCCTCCGAAGACAGTTCAGTCCAGCAATGCATTCATGTTCCAGCCTAGCACCTGTGCTGAGATCTATGACGGATGGAAACAGCGCAGTCTCGTGTTGGTTTGCAAATGCTTCGTTTGGACTTTGACTTTCAACTGTAAACATCATTTTATTAGAAGGCCAAGCGATTTCATATGGATTTCTATACCTTTGAAGTTTATTTCTTATCAGAAGTTGCGCCATTTTTAATTTTCATCATGAATGAATCAGTAGACTTCGGGAAATTTCCGAGTCGCTTGAAATCGTAGGGTCTTTCAACAGGAACTCTCGAACTTTGATAATTGATATCGGCCATCTTGTTGAAATCAAATTAAATGTCATTCATTCAGTCTGTTTTGCCAAATCAACATGGTCGGATATAGTATTCAACAACAGGTGAAAATAATGAAATTGTTTTATCAAATGAGTATTCTGTTCGGGCAACGTACAGCGCGCTTCGCCCTCTTCACGATCATCATATTCGTCCTACGAGAGGACTATCTGCAATATAGTGGATGAATTTGAGTCCACTAGTTCAGTAAACGATTGACCAACAGCCGTACGTTGACGAAATACAAGATCTGCTAAAAAATCCGTTGTGAGAGTGTACAGGAGAATCCGAGGCAGTCGATTTCGCATCGCTCACAAGAATTCGGCCTTTCGCAGACCACAACTTGGCGACTTTTGCATCGTGACTTAGTCCTGCACCCGCACAAAATTCAACTAACCCAGGAACTGAAGGTAAATGACCATAGACAATGACGTGTGCTCGCTGAATGGGCTCTAAAGCAGTTAGCAACTGACCCTAATTTCCATCGAAAAACCATCTTCAGCGATGAGGCTTCTGGATGAATAGTACGTGATCAAACAACATTGTCGAATTTGGGATGATAACAATGCACATGAGATCAAAGAGCGTCAAATGCATCCCGAGAAAGTCACTGTTTGGGGTGGATTTATGGCTGCCGGCGTAATCGGTCAATATTTCTTTGGAAACGACGTTGGTCAGGCCATCACTCTCAACGGCGAGCACCAACCAACGACATGTAAGGTTTGTTCTTGTTCTAACATCCGTAACTGTTTGGAAACTGCGCAATCTCAAACAGTCTGAAATACTCTCGGACACTTGGTTAAACCAGAAAGCATTTTGAGGAGACCACTGTTTCACCTATCGTATATATGAAGAGATGAAGACGAGAAAATACTGTTGATCATGTCCATTTTGTTATGTAGCGTATCCTTGTAGTCAGTTCAAACGCTATCTAACCCCAATCATCAATTATTTGAATCAAATAAATAATAAAACATCCTAGAAAATAGCCCAAACAAATTTCCACATGAATGCGCATGAACAACGGGAACAATTCTCAACAGTTCAGTCTTGAGACAGTTTAGGATCATTTCGCAGTCGAAATTAGAACAGAGGATTCATCAATTCGAACTTATCCTCAATAAACCAGAATGCTCTATGACTGCCCATGATCCTGACCTCCTAGAACCTGAATTTCGTAGAACCAGAACAAACCTGTAGTTTCACCAGGACGGCGCTACGTGCCACACAACTGATCCACACCGAGATCATGCGATTTGACCTCGTTAGACTTTTCATTGTGGTGTTATTGTGTGTCGCAGGTGTATGCGGATAGGTCACAAACCACGCCGATCCTTGGATCGCCAGAGTCATGGAAAATTGGACGATTCGGAAGCGTTCCATCCAGAGAAAACGTGACGGACATTCAATGTTTATTCAGATTTCTGTTGAAGACAAAAAATGAAGGATTTCAAAATGGGTTTCCAAATAACTAGCAAATCTCCCGGAGAGGATGGTATATTTCCAGCTCTTCTTCAAAACGGACTGGAAATAATTTTTCCTATTCTCACAAAATTGTATAGAGCTAGTCTGGCGTGGAACTATATACCACCCAGAAGGTTGGCAGAAAGGGTGGTGTATAGCTAAAGTGGGCCGGAGAGACTCACACCCCAAATCGGTACGACCATCTTTCCTGCTAAGAGGACTTCAGAGGATACTGAACGGACATATCAGGAGGGTAGCATTATATGCATTTCCCCTGAATAACCACCAGTATGCTTATCAAACCGGCAAATCCACAGATTCAGCATTAAACTACCTCGTTGAGAAAATCTTCCAATCCCTTGACAACAAGGAGATTGCGAATGCTGTATTTTTTGATATTGAAGGAGCATCTGACAATGCACTACCTAAATCTATAGAATTGTCTCTGGCTATAAAGGGTATAGAATCGACCATAACTGGCTGGATCTATGCCATGCTAGTAAACAGAACTGCAACTACGATTCTTCAAGGCGAGGCTATCAGGTTCAGGGTCACCAGGGGCTGCCCTCAAGGTGGGGTACTATCTCCCCTTCTGTGATAGCTCCTGGTGTATAGTCTGCTTGATGCCCTCGACAGAAGGAAACTTGATCTGCAAGCTTATGCAGATGAACTTGTCATCCTGGCAAGGTCCACGTCGGGAAGGGTAGCTTGTAATATTCTCCAAAGCGCGTTGGACGTTGTTCACAGTTGGTGCCTGAGGGAGCAGATGTCTGTCAACCTCAGCAAAACTGTGGTAATCCCCTCCACCAAGAGAAAGAAATTGGACGATCTAACGTCACTTTCCCTCAATGGTGTGGTCATTCCATTTGGAACGGAGGTGAAATATCTTGGCATTGTCCTTGATAAAAGACTCACCTGGAACGCTCATTCGGAAAAAGTTTTACACAAAGCCAGACTGTCTCTATGGACATGTCCAAGGATTTGTGGTAAAACTTGGTGTTTATGTCCCAAACAAGTCCATTGGATTAATGTGATAATTGTCAGACCAATGATCATTTATGTTGCAATTGCTTGGTGGCCGAAGGCTTTACAGAAAACGGCCCAAGCGAAGCTCTCTGGCTCACAGAGACAGGCTTGTCTGGCTATCAGTGGTGCCATCAGTATCACACCGTCAGCGGCCATGGAGATCCTTCTGGATCTACATTCTCTCCACATGTTTCTGGAAAGAGAGGCTAGATGTACTGCATACAGACTTGTGCACATTGCCAATTGTACAAATCAATTTAATGCAGAGTGCAACAGACTGTTGGTTGACATTGGAAGTCACAGCATTTTGTAAATGACCTCTGACTTTATGCCTCCAACTGTCAACTACGAACTGCCTTATAAAGTAGAGAGGACTGGATCCTGCGGGAGAAGGAAATATTAAGAGCAGATAGTTGTTGGTTCACAGATGGATCAAAAACTCCTTCCGATTCTGATGCAGATGTTTTCAGTCGCAGACCCAGGACAGAGTTATTTTCCTGCATAGGAACTATGCGACTATATTTCAAGCGGAAATTTACGCTATTGAATTGTGTGCGGAGAGATTGGATAAATCCAACTTCACTCACAAGTCAATAAAAATATTCTCGGACACTCAAGCGGCGTTGGAAGCTCTTGGCTCCTGCCGATCAACGTCTGGATTGGTACCAAACTGTCAAAGAAGACTCTCCTCGATAGGAAGACTGAACAGATTGTTTTTGGTCTGGATTTCTGGCCATACTGGCCTGGAAGGCAATGAAGCTGCTGACTCTCTTGCAAAGGATGGTGCTGCAAGTGGCTTCATTGGACCAGAACCTGTCATTGGCATCGCTTTGGGCTTTGCCAAACAAACACTGAACACCTGGATGGCAAGAAGAGTTATGGATTTCTGGCAGAATCTTCCAAGATTGGCTCACTCCAAGGCGTTTATTCACCCTTCGAAGCTTGATTCCAAACATTTGTTGGACTACAGTAGGGATGAACTACGATGTCTAACAGGCCTTCTTACAGGTCACTGTCATTTGAATCATCACATGCAGAGACTTGGACTGTCGGAAGACAGTGTGTGTCGCCTCTGTCTGGAAAATGATGAAACTGCAGAGCATATACTTTGTGCCTGTCCCGCTGGGGACCGAATCAGGTTCTTTTAGTTTGGCAGATCCGTA